GCGCAGCGGCACGTCCGTCCCCCGTCGGCCCTGGGCTAAATGGTGACTGGCGAGTCAGCTGCCCGCGACGTTTCGGTGTAGTGCGGTCTTGCTCGCTTCTAGGATTTTTCTCCAGCCCTCCCCACCGTCTTTGAAAAACACAATGTCTCTAATGCAGTCGCAGAATTGTTTTCTAATTTGTACCTTTTATAAAACTGCGCGATCGATCTCTTTCGGGTTGAAGCTCGGGAGGCGGGCTGAGAGAATCCCCGTTTTTCATTGGTTCTCGAGGTGGTTATAATGGGTCGCCGCGGTCTCTGATTGGTGGGTTAAAACGAGGCTGCGTGTTTCCCCCAGCGATTGGTTGGTGCTCGTTTTGGTGGGGACCGCGCTCTCGGACCCAGTCGCTGGTCCGGTTTCGCAGAATCCGAGGATCGCGCGCTGAGGTCTTGCTGACCGGGCGGGGGTCGCGTTGCGAGCTTGCAGAGCCGCCGACATCAGCCTCTCCAAGTCTCACTCGCAGCCTTCTTCAGTTTTGGCCTCCCCGGACGTTCCCCTCTCCCTCCATGGGTCTTTCTTGGAGCCCTGGCAACTTGACTCACTTGTGGATTGGGGTGTCCATGGGAATCCTACGCTCACTGTAGGTGCTCAAAAGGGAGCGCGGAGGAGACCCCGCAGCCCTCCTACAGCGATGAACAATTTTTCTCCCGTATATAGAAAGTCCTTTGTCCCAATACTATCATTTCTTCCATTGACTTGAAAGTGCCTTATTTTGTGATTTTATCAAGGGAGATGCTATTTAAAGCTGGAGAACCAGATGAAAACCTGTGGTTTAAGTTTAGGTGGGGAGCGGAAGACCCAGGCCAACGCCTGGGGTACTCTGAAATTTAAGTACAGGAAAGGAGACTGACGCCTGGGGTACTCTGAAATTTAAGTACAGGAAAGGAGACTGACGGGAAGGAGTGACTAGGGAGGTAGGGAGAAGACCAGGAGAGTAGGGTGTCACCGAAGCAAAAAAAAAAAAAAAAAAA